GACAACACGATATTCCCGAAAACACTTCCCCACGTCCTTTTCGGTATTTTTCTTCGTCCATTTCGGGAATATTAACATGAGCTCTGAAATTACCGGAGAATAATTCCCGAAAGGGGAGTACGCCCCCCCCCTTTCGGTAATTTTAGTGATGGGTGATGATGGGACCAAAGCCAGTACCAGGGCAAGCAGTGGTGGGAGTCTTGGCAATCTTGGCAGGAAAGTCCGGAGTGGACCCAAAACACACCACAGCAGGCAGAGCCACCAGCGCCAAATCCTCGTGTCCCTCTTCCTTCGCACTTCAAGTCGGACGACCTTCACTACGACAATGAGCTTGTGTACAAGCAGACACTCCGCCGCACTGTGGAAGCCACCGAGCAGGCCGGCAAAAGCGAGGCCAACGGCAAGGACGGCGGCAGGAGAAGCGCGACAAGCTGAAGGCCATGGGCCATGGCGTTCAAGGCCAAGTGGGAGGACTGGCCGGAGAGCATGAAGGAGAAGTTCAACTCCAAGAAGACATAAGAAGACGAATTACATTAACAATGCCCTGGCCAAGAAGGGTAAGGCTTGGGAGTTGCAGCTGGAGAGCCCAGTCCTTCACCTCAAGCGCAAGCGCCTGGACGAGCGAGGCCAGAGTCGAACGTTCGACGAGCTGCCATGGAGCGGCATGTTGGGGCAGCTTCAGTTCGACAAAGGCCAGGTCAAGAAGGCTTGCAGGGTGAAGGGTTCTTGGGGCAAGGTTTTGCAGATGCTTTTTTTGTGCCCTAAGCACTGCGCCCTACACCCTATAGGATTTCTCAGGCGATCGAGCGAGGGGACCTCCGGCGCGCAGTTTTGGGGCTTCAGGAAGTTGAAAGACTACAAGATGACGGCGGTGAAGGGCAAGAGCCTGGGCGCTGACAAGGGCGAGGCTTTGGCGGAGATCCTTGACCAGAACGCCTCCGGCTCCTCGAGCGGCAGTTCCGGTGTCAGCTGCCAGGCTCTGGCCAACGGCAAGGACGTTACCATGAGCATGCTGCAAGCCTTGCAGTCCGGCCCTCAGCAACATTATGGAGGCAAGATTGTGAGCGCGACTGTCCGCCAGGATGTGAAGTCCTTGCACAGCATTTACAGCAAGGTGAATGAGGCTGAGGTGAGGCTGCGCCACCTCTCGCTCTTCCAGGTTACCGACAGCAACCAGCCCCTGAATGACGTGAGCTTGAAGGACTTTGCTTGACTCGTAAAAGGTTTTGCTGCAATAAGGACTTTGTCGGAACTTATGAGCACAAACTTGCCTTATCCCCCTGCCACAATGCTTTGTCATAGGCAAACTAACTTTGCAAAAATCCTTGTGCCAGGAGATCCTGAAGCAGGTGTCTGGCCACTGTGACGGAGGGGGCAGTCCGTGCGTGGCCATGGCTAAGCGCTTGATCAGAGACCTGTGATCTGTCAGATTTTCTGTGTTCATCCGGATTAGAAATCTTTAAAGGAAGGCGCTGCAGTTTTCCTAGACGCACCTGCCGATAAGGATCTGCGCTGGATCCTATGTTTCACAAGCCAACGATGCGTTGCAGTTTTGAGTTTTGGAAACTCCTGCCGGAAAAATTCCTGAGGAGTCCCCTTTCAAGCCTGCAGAGTACTGTTCCTTGCTATTGCTTGCGGCTGCACAGTTTTGCATGTTTCTCGTATCCTTGAGTTTTGGCTGCAAAAATCTCGAGCAACAGGCAGCCTCCGCAATCTGATGATGGCTGAGCGGCAGATGATGTTGAGTACCGTGACTGTGGCGGCCTTGCAGAGCGTCATGGTTGCTGAGACTGAAATGTTTGATCAGATCAGTTTACCTACTTCATGAAAGGGGGTGACCCGCAACTCAGCACCTCGCCTACTTGCTGCGATCCTGGGGCTGGCAAGGAGTGCCATCATAACCCCAACGATCATGTTTTGCGACCAGGACCCCCCGATCCTTGTGTTTGAAACGCGAAGACCAGGAGCAAGTCCAAAGTGACCAGAACTGCGATTTCTGCGTTTCGCGACTGCGAGGTATGCGAGACACTCGCGAACGCTTTGCGGACACAAACGCGACGACTTTTGGTCACCTCCTGGACCCCTGGACCTAAAACGGAAATCCTTCTACAGAGCATTCGGGAACGTAATCTGGCGCACCCATAAACCAAGTACGAGTTGGTGCGCTTCAGCGGAGCTGGCCAGGTGCGCAGTTTGGCTCAAAGTGGTGTTCGGCCAGGCTAATTTTACGCTAGCCAATTGAGATGGTGTGTTTCCGGATAAACTGTCGTCAAAAAAACATGTTCAGATTGGGGCATGTTTCGGGGCATGGTGCGTAGCACTGGGCTCTCGACGAAGGGACATTGTTGGGGTATGTATCGAGGATCATCGAGGTATGTTTCGGGTATGTATCGGACGGGTCGAACATGCTCCTTTTCATGAATTCCTGACCCCCAATGAATGGAAAGACCCATATTGCTAGCAAGCAACCACTTCTTGAACGTCGCCGCACTGTCTGCTAAAGACATTCAGAGAGCCATAATGGGCTAGAGGCTGCCAACAGCTACGTGCGCTTGCGTGGAGCTTGCGCCAAGTTTGTGCGGATTCGTCGTGTAATGTTGAAATTTCGCTGTTGACGTTATGGCAGCGTTGAGCCATAGTTCGGTCGTCAAACCCCAGTGACGGTTGCGCTGTGCTTGCGTGGGCAGGGCAGATGGTATACTTGGTTTTCTTTTACACGCAATCGCAAATTGTAGTCCGAAAGGACCCCAACATGCCCCAGGCGTGAATTCGATTTGTGGATCTGCCCACTTCTGCACCAAATCCGTAACGACACATCTACCTAGTTGACTCTGGCAGAGAAATGCCTCGGCAGTTGTCAAATCCCCTGCAACAATGCTCTCCATCGCAGCTTCAGCATCCGCTTGTCCTCTGCATTTGCGTCCTCAATCGTGTTCGTTCGTTTCTCCAGCAAAAGCTTCTTGAGGCTTCCACCGCCTTGTCCCTCGAGGCTTAGCTGGAACCGGCAAGCCAGTCGAACTCTTTGGCCGCCTCTTCCATCTCCGCGGCTTTTGGCATCTTCTGGGTTTAAAACTAGACACAAAGGCATCTGAGAATCGGCGATCTTGATTCCATGCTGCAAGGCTTTCGAAGTCCTCATGCTGGCAACACGAAAAGACTGAAAAATGTTCAAGCTGAGGCTCTCGGACTTTCTCTCGGCAATAAAGCTGTTTGACCTGGCTGAGCTTTAAATTGCCACTTGCACTCCCGTGAGAATGTTGTGCAGGCCTCAGGCTGGATCCGGCCTTTCTGCACAATTCGGGTCTGCGTTCGACACCTGTCTTAAATGGCAGTATGATGTGCTGAAATGCGTGACTCTGAGGAGAGGTGCCAGTTCAGGGCATAGAGGATCACGAGCACGGAGGTGCAAAGGACGTCGGACGTCGGAGCCAGTCAATGTCATAAGTTATGACAGGGAGTCAGGAAAAATTACAGGTTGGACCGTGGGTGCGGGGAGTTGTTCTGTGTGGGAGGTGCCCTGCAAACATGTGTCTGAGTGAGTCGGTTCGCGCCGTGCTCCATGAACCTTTGGACTTGGGATGACTTGGGCTCATCGCAATGATTGGGGATGAGCTGGAAAACAGAAACGGCGCGTCGGCTGACGACATGGTTGGAACTTGAGGCATGCTGTTTACACTGCACGCGACTGGAATTCGAGAACACCCAGAACCTCGCCAGATGTCAACCAACATGGCGATTTCATTCAATTTGACCGAGCTCTACAGGTCATTAGCAGCGGACCAGTGTAAGGTGGCAATGTAAGGCACAAGCCTGGCCCTGCGCCCTGGTGCCGGCATCTCCTCGTGTGCCTTTGATCCGCAGTGCAAATCACACTCTCAATTCCAAGAAATTCCAAGAACTGAGCACCGCCTTCGCAGCTTCAAGCATGCTGGCTCGTCGCCGAGCCTTGACAAGAGACCAGATGCTGCAGGTTTTGCACGGACCCCTAATTCTCCTCCCAACCGCTAGATGCAGGGCTCAGGGTGTGTAGCACACTTCGTCTCCTGTTCTTCCAGAAAATCGAAAACCTTAACCCCAAGCCGCGACTCAGGCATATGCATCCAAGATTGTCACCATAATGATTCCCCACGCCCATCTAGTTTGCCAACCACCCCCACCCTCCCCCGATTCATGCACGTCGGCCAGGGGACTTGGGAAACTGTAAACGTGTGCAGGGCAGGGTACGAACCGGGTTCGGGTCAGGTACGGATTTTGAACGCATGAAGCAACAAGCCACTCCACAGGTTTCAACACGGGATTCAAGTCCTGGTGGGGCGCGCACAATCACATCTTTGATGTGGATTTAAATCTTTCCCTCCAATAGGTTGTACTAGTAGTGGTGGAAAAGTTAAAGCCCTGATCCTTTTGTTGTCCTGGCAATAATCATGCACAGCACAATGTGAAGAGCACCAAGAATGACCGCAACAACATGCAATGACGGCAACACGGGTAACGACAGCGCTGATGAGCCCAACAATCGTGTCATGAAATGTCATGAAGGCAATGTGACCCCCCAGCCACATGCGAGCTGATGTCGTCAAGGCCCAAAAGGTGCTGCAGATTGGCCTTGGCTGAATCCCAAAATTCAAACCTTGACTGGCTTGACTCGGCTTGACTAGCAGTTGACTGGCAATTGGGATGGCGCCTCGCCCATCCGACCCATCCTTGCAGGCTTGGAGCCAGGGCTCCCTTCCGCAAAGCCCGGCATTACGTGGAAATGGACTCATGCCTCACAACATCTAAACGTATGGGATGTACACCATCGTCAAGCCCACTTGCGATCAATAGTGTCGTGATGCTGGGATGCTCATCAACGCTTTCATTCTCGAAGAGTGGCTGCGATTGTGCGGCTGGCCCGCAACAGGAAGTACATGTAAGTACGCATAATCACTGTGAGGCTGGACTTCCGCCCCCAGTTTTTTTTTGACGCGAGCGTCAGCGCGAAACATTTGCTTAGGAACCTTGGCATGTGCAGGGATGCAAAAACAGAATTTAATTACAAACCCGCCGTGTGCAAAAGCTTAGTGGCGGGCCACCGACCAAGTGAGCAAGCCTCCAGCAATCCAACACTTACCTTGACAACGTTTGATGTCCCCGGCCTCCTTCCACACAGGACGTCGCACTGCCCGTCTAAGGCTGCAAACCGGCCATGGACTGCCTTGATGACCTGGTGCAGCCACTGTGCCGTTTGCAATGCGATGAAGGACAGTCAGGGCACGGCATGCCCTCGAGCATCGTCCTCGGAAGTCTGCACTATACTTACCAGATTGTTTTTAATCTTTGGCTGTCATAAAATCTCATGCTACCGATCAGTTGGCATCACATCAGTAGGCGACACTGTGCTTTTGCCTGAGGCAAACCTCACTACTCCCCCAGTGTGCAGAAAGACTCTATTAAGTGCAGAACGCATGGAGCAAACATCTCTCCTTCAGGTTTTGGCCAGGCGTCGTTGTTCGCTGGAGTCCTTCAATTGTCAACACTGCCTTTGGCTTACTCCCTGTCAGTAAGTCCATGGCCACGTGCACCTGTTCCTCCTGGAAGGTCTGCATGATCTGCATAAGGCAGGAGCTTAGCCTTGAGATAGCGGTTCAACTCGCAGGGCTGTGGCAACAGGTAGCTGCAACGGGCTAGTGACGATTCCGCCAAATTGTTGACTGTAGGCAGCCAGCCTCATATGCGGCCCTGTCGCGCAGACGTGACTTACAGCGCTCCTGTCAGCAAGTAGGCGGACTACTCTTGAAGCAATGGCACCAGTGTGATGGGTATCTGGGGGCAATGGCCGAGGGCCCGCCAAATCCAAGTTTTCTGCTGGTCACACTGCTCCTGCCTCGCAGAGTTGTTGTTGTAGCACAAAATCCTGCAGCTGGTTGACGATGGGCGGAACTGCTCTTGGCTTACCTGGCTTTCTTGGTGGAAAAGGTTCGAAACACTTTATCGAGTGGTCAACCCACCGAACGCCCAATGCAGCTACCAGTTGTAACAAAGTATAGCAAAGTCTTGCCTCTGGAATCCTCTAGGAACTAGTGCAGAATGCGTGCCAAAGGTTGGGGTCCGGCTCACTTCGGTCCCGAGACATGCTTGGAAGAATACATTGCACAAGACGGCCAATGCAGCATGTCCGAGTCGAGATAACACTCTCAATAGTTGGAAATTCATCTCTTCAGATCATCATTATAATGTGGGCACTCTGCAGAGAGTCTGTAGTCGCATGCTGCCTGCTGCAACTGCAGCGTGGAGCTCCTGACAAACGCAAAGCACTGCAGATTGCAGACACGCCAGTTGCAACAGCTTGCATGGAATTAGATAGCGAATGAATTTCTTCGCAGCTCTGCGTCCTGGACAGATTTTGGCCTCAGAGCCTCCAGGATGTCCTGGGTAGGATCTCCACAAGAAGTTGAAATTTCAAGTTGGAAGTGCGCATTAGAACCAGCAAGACTGACAAGTGGTGCATGTGCACTAAGTTCAGATCGCCGTCAGGTGCCATCTCTATGAGGTTGCCGAAGCAATGAGCACTTCTGGTTGCCTCTCTCACCTGACCTCAACTTTTTGCAAACCTGATGAGAAGTCGAAGCCAATCTTTTGTCCTCTAATCTCATCTCTCCTACCTCAACTTGCGGATTTGCAAGCAGAAAATGGTGGCTGCATCCGCCAGGCTCACAAGCACCTATCATGAACACCCAGTGCATCAAGGCATGGCATTTTGGTCGCGTCGACTCTTCTGAGCAGTCTGCGCAGACTACTGACTACGACCGTTGCCCACCAGTTTCTTCAGAAACGGGCTGCAACAAAGGTGGACTGGCCCTGTACCATTCTGCAACTGTACATTCAGAGAGACCTCATGCTGCCCATCGCACCAATCCCTGGCCTTGGCCAAAACGACGGGGCCCAATGGCTACCAACAGCTTTGCACTAGCCCGCATCTCACGCCGAGAGCGTTTGACCTGACTCAGACGCAGGAATTGCAAGAAAGCTCGCGCGAAAAGTGCGAAACTTCCCTGGTTCTGAGCTGCGTGCCAGAGCCCTGAAAGGGTTGAAAACCCTGTCCACGCCTAAAGCCATGCAGCAATATTGCAGAAGTGACTGCGACCGATGCTAGTGCGACATCTTGGTTTCTGAGGCCTCGGCGGATTCCGTGCGGGCCCTCCTATCACAATGATCAATGATGCATGTGTCTACCCAAGAGAAAGCCACTGGTTCCAAAACGGGTGCTTGAAGAGGCCCTGATCGGAACCAAGACAATACAGCGCGACTCAGCTAGAGGTGTTTCATGTGAGGGGCCAGAACCTGAGAATTTGGTCAAAAGCAAGATTCTGCCTTTTTTGAACCCAGGCTGAACTCCAACTTGCGTTCCGCCTGCGCACCGAGAGGCAGGCCCATGCAAGCCCTAACCTCAAGCATGGACCGTAAACCTGCCCACGTCTCTAAAACTATGCCTCACGTCTGGAAACTGACCCATCGTACTCACTACAGCAGATACCCCGTCGTACAGATTGCTGAGAGACATGCAGTCTTGAAATCACAGTAGCCTTAGCTATCTGCGGACGCTGCGAATCTCCAACCGTGCTGAAGCAGTGGATGCGATCTGTGTTTCACAGACGGCATCAAGTTGTACGGGTCTGCTCTTGCAAATGCACCTGGGGGCCTTAGGGAAGGACAAGAATTTTGAAAAGCCAATAGCATTTGATATACGCCTGCTGGTCCCTGGTCCTCAAGAGCCCAGTGTAAGCGAGGAGAAGACAATTGCATCCTTTATCCAGCATGCAAACAGCACCATGACCTTCTATGTGTAGCTGATGGACTGCTGATGGCCAGTGAAGATGGTGACTTCAAGTAGCGATTAATCGGCCGAGAGTAGTTGCCTTGCGCAACCCCGCCCTCCAGGCGCTTGTGCTTTCAGTGTTGCTTTTGTCTCAGGATCAAGGTAGCTCGCAGTGCAGAACCGATTGGGTTGCTTGGTGTACCTTTGGAAGAGTTCCTGCGTTCTGGAGGCTCCTCCCTGACGCGACAGCATGCGCCAGCACGAGCCAATCTGCTTCCACAAAAGCGCAAGTTCCAATACATCGATCTTGCCAACTCGGCATGAAGCAATTGGGTGCTTTCCTCAGCTAGCTGGAAGTTGAAGCTGAAATGAGTTCAAGGTCGCTCGGAAATGTGGAAATCAAGCAGCCCGTGCGCCGCTCCGCTTCTCGCTCCTCAGCAAACCAGGCGTTCTTCACGCTCTTGTGGCCGGCCAACACTTCAACACCCTCTTTTCGTCAAACAATCGTTTCCGAGAACACAATGTCCACCATAGACTCTGCAGCAGGATAAACCGCTAATTGCATGGCCTCATGCTTCGGACCTGGCATGTTGCTTGCGAAATCTTGCAAACCTTCAACAATTTGCTCTGACTTACTCCCTGTCGTCAACCGACATTCTTGACTGGACACTCATGACTTGCGACGAGGGTACGAGTGTCGAAAAGCGACCATAGTTACGAGGATGGCAGCCCACAGATGCTCGATCCCTGTCTCTTGAGGTCCAAAAATAACGGCAGCGACGAGGACGGCCACTTTCGGTGAGGTTCCAGCATGCAGCTGCAGCGCACCACTCGTGAACACTTCACGAGTGCTTGCGGATCTTCCCGAACACGCCGCAACGATTTTTGGTCACCCATGTTAAAAGCCTCCGTGCATGAAGTCCACGAAATCTTTGGCAGTTTTCCACAAGGTGGCTGCTCTAGTCACGCGCAAGGAGTTTCAACAATGCCTTGGAATTCGAGCAGCAATGTTTGTCGGTTGGGCTTGCAACTGATCTTAATTGGCTCAGTTTGAGACTTGGTTCCATCACGAGACGGAGGCAAACCCGAAAGCATAAACATGTTCCCAGCCCAGGTGGCCGTCGGGTGTGAGGGAGGGGGGGACTTTTTGTCGTGCAGGCCGAAGGATGCGGAAAAGGATGCTTTATGATGCTTTGAATGAACGGAATCTTTATTTTGGCCTCTCACTCTGAGGTCTGACATGCTTCCCTGAAATCGCCCTCTGCCTCTTTCCAAGCAACTCCTACGACCTCCTGAAATGTCCATCGTCTTGCCTCCTGCACCGGGGCCACCCCCGTTGCCGGGTGGCTCACCTCAGAAGCAGACCAACGAAACTCTTCGAACCAGGTATGGCGCGGCCAAAGCTCAGCCTTGGAATCCACCTTGCTGGGCCATCATGAGCTGCTGCCCCAAGCCAGCCTGCTCAAACAAAAATTGTCCTTGACAGTGAACAACTCCACTTCATCATCTTCAACTGGCGGGGCTCCTGTGCCTGGCCCTGGCCCTGCATCAGCCTCACAGCTCAATTTCTCTCTTACATGCCTCCGTTCCTTTCGCCAGCTTCACAAAGGCCGCCGCTCTACACTTGTCTTAAACATCCTGTAACCAACTCGCGTCCTTGCAAGCTGAACGGCATGAAACTACTCTGACTGCAAGGAGTCTTGCAAAAACTCACCCTGCTCTCTGGGGAACAAACGCCACGAAATCCAAAAGAACACCCAAAAGCATGGCCACCTTGCTCAAGAAAGGGGGCACCGTAACCCAAGAAGGACAACATTGTGCGAGTTCAGGCCGGAGCATTCGCGACCACCTCCAGTACACCGCATCTGTCCGTAAGTGGGTTCGAGCCATGCTGCAGACTTGGAGACTGAGGAACGCGCCCATGCATTGCTGCACAAGTTGCGGGGGATGTCTACCTCCGTGACGGTCGAACATGGTCGAACGTTCGTTTGTTTTGCTCCATGGGCGAGGCACATCTGCAAGCAGAATCGCTGAAGCACGGCCTTCGTGTCTGCGGGAATGATGTACGGGGCCGTGCCATTTACGGCCGCGTCGTTGAGATAGATGGTGGTGTTTTTCCGCAGAATGGCTTCCAACTGGAGCAGGCGCCAGTTGACATGCCAGAGCAGAGTAGCTTAATTAATTCCATGCCGCCGTTCTAGGCGCACGACGGGTTTGGGGCAATCGCTGGAAAACATGTTGCCCGCTCCAGGATATGCTTCTGCCATGAGGGAGATCAAGTTCAGGATGTCGAAAAACCTGCAATTGCTGACTGAGGCAGCAAGATAAGCTTTGTAACCAACTGCAGGACACTAGCAGTGTTGTCGAGACACAAGGAGATGAAGGCCAAGAGAAAGAATGGAACAATGCAGGTGCTCATGCACCTGAAGTTTTTTTTTCGAATGTGCTTTCTAACACAATCCTTGCTTTGGGAAGTAGAGGCGAAGCAGTTGAAGCTCGGGCTGGTCAGATCTGGATGCCATGGAAGCAGCAGCCACCAATACGAAGACCTCGCGATCACTAATCTGATTCTCATCTCGTATGTGCTGTGTTGCTGTGGCACCAGGCTGCCCCGCATAATTGATTCCAGAGTTAAATGCTCCGGCTGACAGCGACATAAGAAGAATGACGGTGTAACCAACCTCATTTGAGGGAGGAAGCGAAAAGCAGATGAGAGCAAATGCCAGCAACTAAGCTCGCATCCACGATCAAATATAAAGCGTTCTTGTACCTGATGGCACAGAACACTTACACAACAATGCACAACAGCGTGCAAAAGCACGTTTTGCTTTGTGCTTGTTACGCCGCATTTGGCTTTGGCCTCAGCAGCTCGGGCGGTGGAGGCGCCGGGCCTGGACCTGGCAGATGCAAACAAAAGAAGAGACATGCTGAGGTACATGCGTAGTCATGCTGAGACCTTTTCGGGCTTTTCGCATGCTGCAAACTATGATCCAAGAAGCATCTTATTATCTCTTCTCTGGCGCAGGAATGGCTCGGTAGCCCCCAGCCACAAGAACAGGCTGAACATCTGGCAAAAGATCAGGCATGCCTGGAAGCAAACGCTCGGTGTGGTCTGTATACTCTTCCAGGCCCTCAAGTGGTCGGATGAGCTCAAATCTGGCAACCACAAGGATGGGTTTGCGGTGTGGCTCGGGATCGAAAGGTTGAACTTTCGTAACATGGTATCCGAGCTCCCTGAGGTTCGCAGCATCGGCTCGAAAGGCTGATGCATCAACGGAGACATAGACAATGGCGCGAGCAGCTGTCGATCTCAACCAACTGTGGAAATAGCCAGGAGTACCCCGGCCCTTCTTTCGGTTTCGTGGCTGACATACCAGAACTACATCTGGAGGCGGCAGGGTAGGAGGTGGTGAATCAGTGCCCACCTGGGCCAGTCTTGTATCACCGTCTGGTAGCACAACATCCGTAGCTGAGCTTGTGGCTTTGCTAATACGCGCCGGCGGAGGCTCAGGGATGGACGACAGGGGGGCTTGTGCCCAGGCGCTGTCGATTTCGATTTCTATCTCAACATCCGAATCTCCACCTTCCACATCCCAGTCTTCATTTTCACCTTCGTCCTCTGAGCCGCCAAAAGCCTCAGACACCTTCGCTGCCACATCATCTGAGTCCTCTTTTTGCTCTTCTCCTTCTGGCGTGTCACTACTGTCTGGCTGCTGCTGAGCTTTGCGAGCAGTTCGCTCATACCTCCAAAAGTTTTTTGACTTTACTCTGTAGGAACTGGCCTTAGCAACAAGGAAGGGGTCAATAGCATCTTGATCCCCATCTTCAGTTCCTGCCGTTTCTCCAACCAATGCCTTGTAAGCTCTCGTCAGGGCCTGAAAACGCTCTGACGCGTCCTCATCGTTGGGATTCTTGTCAGGATGATACTTCAACGCCAGTCTGCGATACAAGCGCTTCAGTCTGGTTTCCATTTCCGGGGGCACCTCGCGAGCTGGCTGGGAATGTTCTGCGTCCGCTTGCCTGTCCACTGGGACAGGCAAGGTCGTAAGCGCAGGTCGGAAGTCTCGAACAAAGGCCGGCAAAAGCAGCTGTAGTTCTTGGTGTGCCATGGCATCTTTGCGCAGCAATGGGGCGTTGAACGGTGCAGCTGTAAGTCTTTGCATTTGGCGTCGACGGCTCTCACCTGGCACGAAGCATGTGAGCGCGTACTCCCGAGCCTTGTCCTGCTCTTCCCCGGTACCCAACAAAAGCCGCTGTTGCTGCGACTGCGAGATATGGAAGGAAAGCTGCTTCAGGGTGAATGGGCTCCTGAGGTTGCAAAGCACTGTGGTGGTATTGGCAACAGTATTTGCAGCCAAATTTCTCTTCAGCTCTCCAACCTCTGTTGCTGATGTCCCAATGGCGACAACGTGCTGGCAAAGCTTCCCCAGGGCTAAGCTTAGCTCGCCTCCACTGCAGAAGCAGTGCCACAAAGTATCTGTGTCCATCAAGCCACACATGGCAACCACAGTTTCGCTTAACTCTTGAAGCATCCCGCCGTGAGCTGCCAAACGAGATCCAGCACCAATCTCTAGCAAGAAACGGTGCACATCACCATCAAGGCGAACTTCGAAAGATTGGTGCACGTAGCGCCGCCCGTAAAGCAACACCTCTCTCCGTCCACCCATCATTGCACGCCTGGATCTGGCGACGTTTGCCACGATGCCAACCAGGCTCCGAGGAGCCCTTTCAACAATGGCACTCGCCAAAGGTTCCAAGACCTCCTGGACGTTTCCTACCTCATTGCCGAGCACAATGTTCAGCAAAACTTCAGTCCGCCTTCGACTGTCTGTGCGTGGGGCGCCTCTTGCTGTGAAAGCCATGACACTTCGGAAAGTCCCCCAACTTCTCACATCGTTGTAGATGCTGTAGCTTGTTCTCCTTGACTTGCGAAGTTCCATGAAAACATCCGAGAAAATGCTCAACGTCCTGACAGCGGCTTGAGGGGCCAAAACGCAGCCATGGAGAGACTCACCTGCGGGACGAGCATGTGGAGCGTAGCCAGGGGGGGCAATGAACACGTCGCCGTCATCTTCGTGAAGCATCCATTCTATGCGATATGCGTACCGATGTTGGGGCGAAGAGGGACGCATCCGTTCTAAGTGCCCGATAGGGGTTTTCCCCTGTCCGAGTGCATGCTGAATCCAGCGCATTTTTTCTATCAGCTGACGCCCGTACGTCAAGTCCAGGAAATCACAGCCACCGCAGGAACTATAGTGAGGGCATAGTGGGCGCACTTCGTAGCGACTGCTTCGGATTGTCTGAACCTTGGGGTTCACGTATACTTCGAGGTCCCCTCTGGGGTATTTCTTCTCCACAACTTTGCCAAACTCAACAGTGACCACCTCGCCAGGAAGTCCTCTAGGAACGAGAAATTCTTTGGTCAGCACAGAATTCTTGCGCGTGTACCAGCGGAATTTCACAATACCAGCCCCATCTTTTGGACAAATACCAATGATCATCACATCCTGCGGCCAATCTGTGCGAGGAGCGCGGTTTCGCAACGGCACAGCATCTCGGATCCGATCTGGCACACGGTGACTGCTGAGAAAGGGCGCTGGCCCGCGATGCCGCTCCCACGCAAAAAGTCTTCGACCAATACAAAACGGCAACGTGCCCCTAGGCTGGTGAAGCACGTGCATGAGCGCAGAGGTAAGGGCGTAGCCATCGCCGCAACACTTTCGGTCTCCACAAGGCGCAGTTCACCAGCCCTGAACATCTTGCAACACTCTTACAACCATGTGTTGGGCATTGGGCGAGGCATTCTAGAATGTAATGGGGACGGAAATCTCTTCCATTGTGTTGAGTTGTGCAAACAGCTGGTGCGTCTGAATGAAGGGTGAGGCTTGTACGAAGCCCGCGTGCTAGGTGAAGATATGGCCTGGCTGCATCTAGAAAGATGGCCTTGTCGCGAGAGCCCCGTTCGCTTCTTACAAGCCTTGTCCCGGACCTGTCTTTTCAAGCCATTGTTGCGAAATGTTGCGGACTTATGTTGCCAATTCTTCCACATCATCAGCTTGAGCAGGCAGGGAGAAGGGAGGATCAGGGAGGTCTGTTGCAAATTGTTCTAGTCGCGCCGTGGCTGCTACGAGGAGAGAAACCCGAAGCCCTATGTATGCTGGATGCCTCCGGGAGTAGTTTGAAAGGAGGAACATGCCTGGGCCAAGACCACCTCCAAGCGGAATCATTGCTTTTCCTCAAGGCACGACCTCAGCTCAAAGAGCTCAAATTCAGCTCAAGCTCCAATATTATCCCCTCCCCTGTTGTCCATCAATGTCTGAGCTTAGCTCCAGGCCACAGAATTCCGGCAGGCTCTGGTGTCTATGTGAGCTTATCTAATCCTGTCACGTGGAAGAACATCAACCATAGACTGAGCCAAACTGCAGACTACATGCGGGCCGTGCCAACACGCGCGTGGGATCACCCTACAAGCGGATGTGTCAATTCAACTTCAAGTAGTATATTTTTCCAGTCGGCTTATGCGCATCATCCCATCATCTCGTCCATGTGAAGCTTGCAAGCACAGCACAGGGGCATGAGTTGCCACAATTTAGTTAAACGCGGAGCACCGTCACCCAATGGTGATATCCAGTGCTCCCTGATGTGCTCCTTACTTTCCTGGCTAAAGATGAAAGAGCACTCGGAAGCATATCAAAAACTGCCGCAGCGGTCAGACATACAGGTTCGTTCACAGTTTCTCCCAAGATACTCGACTGACCTGCCGCGCGAGTGCTTGATGCTCGAGAAGCACGCTACGTTAAAAAAGAAGTGGATATATCGATTCGCAGCCTTTCCCTTCTCGTCCAGGGATACGCACACGACGAAGTGAGAGCCTGGCGTGGCCTTGCAAAAAGCTCGTTTGCTCAACTTATTTCTTTATTTCGGAAGTATGCAAAAAGCTTAACGCCACAAAAACATTACAGACCGGCAGCTCTGTTCTCGTACGAGAACATTTTGGTTGTCACAAAAGCCAAGCTGTGCATTTGAATCATCTGCAGGGCGAAATGGGCGAGTTGGTAAAACAATCCCTCTCGTAGCCTAATTGAGCAGGTATGGGGGTTGAGTCTGTCAATGCCACCTCGCAGCTGGGCTGCTGAATGAATTCCTAGAAGCTGATCCCCCCGGCACAAAATGGTTGAGGCCTGCCTGCCCTCGTTTATTTCGTGGAGGGGTCTACGGTCCATGACTACATACCTTTTGAACTCCAGCTTTGAAATCAACTCCGATCAGCGAACAGCTACGGCAACAAAACGGACCATGTGACCAACAATGGTGATTGAACACCGCGCCGATCTTCAGACTGCAGGCATGTAGGTGCTGTAGCGTGAACATCTAAAGTCATGAGTCTGCAATGCTGCCTCCAAAGCACCTGTTCCTGCCTTCCTGTTGCGCACCCTATCGTCTGAAAATACAACATCTCACTTTGAACGTGGACAAAACCACGCACATTTGTGTCGCTGAAAAAGTCTTTCAATTTATCCTGTCAGTCTGTTCTCTGCCTCCACCAAGTCACCAGGTGACGTCATGATATTCCAAGAGATTCGCCAGACAGCTTGTGTTTTGCAATGACGGGTGGCCTCCTCGGTTTCCGTTTTTCCAATCTGCCAACTCCTGGCCAAAATGCTCCTATGACAATTCAACACTGTCGAAGAATCATAGATGCGGGCCTGTTCTGCCCAGAGTCGTCGGGCCCACAGACCTTCACGTTCACGCAATGCAGGTTCGGAGCAGACAAATGAGTTGAGTTGCAAGCTAAAGCATCATGCCGCCACACGGGATGATCAAACCCTCTGCTTATTGCCAGGTGGCAGTGTACTTGTCGTCCGCGCCGGCCTCGCATGACTCAGCAATTCCCTTGGCTCCAGGCTTGCCCGTCCAAAAGCCTCATCAATGCTCGGATAGATGACGCGGTCCCAACCTCGGGTGAATCTTTATTCATTTTTAATCTTTAGCTTCTTCAACTGCATCGGCAGCAGCACCAAATGCGTGGACTCATCTTGGTTGAGGCAACTCGGAAAACAACGGGAAAATGTCAACGACCTGTCTATCTTCATCCGCACGCTACCGGCGGCGATTGACTCAGTTGTCGTGAAGTGAACGAATGCAAGCCAAGGTAATGGCTGCCATTTTCAAGAAGCTGGAAACAGTCCCAACCTAGGCAGAGGACTTCAATTTACCAGCCGCGGCAAAGCCAAGCACAAACTTTCCAGAGATCCATGCCATCATCGCCAACTTCCATCGGGAACACAAAGAGGCCGTCTTCCCACCTTGGCATCGAGCAAAATTCAGCCGCATGACCGCTAAGCACAATGAAACTGAGATTCTACTTGCCGCGTCAATCGACGACTAGGGCTGGGTCTCCATGGTATCGGGCATGAAACTGTTCCAACCTGCTCGAACCAGAAACTCCGCGACATGGGAAAACGTCCAGATTTGCTCTGAGGCTCTGGCTGCCTGCGATGGAGAGCCTGAATGGGGGCTTCTTTCCTGATGGCCACACCCTGGCACTGCACTGCAGAGACTGCTCCAAAAGAAGATGTTTCAAGAAATTGGTATCGAGTGACCCTGGCTGAGGAATCCCCTTGACGTTGTCAAAGGTCTCCTCAGCGGCATGGCATGCAGCATATGCTGGCGGCAGGTTTCCTCCGCCGATCTGCCTTGTCCTTGCCATTTGTATAGGCACTCTGAATTTCATCCAGGCCATTAGAGGCCTCTTCAAGCCAGCTGGACATCAGCTTCGCGTGAGGGTGCAGCACAACTTCTGGCCTGCTCCTTACTGGCCCTCGCGCAGGCCTTTGGCATTCAAGGCGAGGATTCAACTTCTGCAATTAGATTTGCCTGGAGGTCATACTAGCATCAACATGTTTTGGCCCCAGCTTTGGAAAGGCCCCGCCAAGTCCTGGCAGGTAACAGGTTTTGGCTAAACGCTAATTGACTACCACAGATGTTTTTCGACTTTGTTCGAGCCTGAGTCCAGCAAACAAGCGTCCGGAATAAACAAACCAAGATCTTGCCGTTTTCAACCCGCCTGCTATCGTGGAGAAACCTACCCCACCCCCCCCCCCCACCCTGCTCCCCCAACCTTTCGCCCCAAAATCATGCCCAGCACAAGAACAAGCTGCGTCTTGCAAGCACAGGTGCACCGGTGGACGCGTGCTAGGGGCGCTACAACTGACCATTAGTAACCAACTTCTGCACAGCACAGTCTGTGTCAAAAAGCTCGAGAACATCGCCAGGCAAACTCCGGAGGTGACCGCAGCCCGAGGAGCCCTCAGCAGCACGACAGCTTTTCTTTTAGAGGTTGGTTAGGGAGTCTCTGAAATCGGACAGCCCTGCAACGCTGCCAGCAACAGTTCAAATGCCCGAACCTTAAGTCTAAAAAACATGCACTCTGGTTACTCTGGTTCCCAGCCTTTGCCGTGCCCCATCGTGCCCTCAATTACATATGTGCACGACACTCTCCACGAATTGAATACCACGGACCTATGGCAACACGAGGCTTGGACATGAACACGAACGTATACCTTCTGGCAGGCCCGGATCGGTTGGCCCCAAGGGCAAAAACTTCTGGCTGCGCTCTGTACTGAGACTTTACTTTATTTACTCGCCTTACTCGCTTCTTGAATTTTTTTCCCTCCCGCTCTGCCGCAGCTGCGAGGTGACAAGCTGTAAGCCCTACTTACGAAGACTCAAAACAGAAGTGTGTATCCGTCATGCACCCAATTGACAAAACATTCGAGGGAGCGCATACTGAAACTGTACACTGCACAGGCCCCGAACATTCTCCTCTACGGTTCCGCAACTCTCGTCCAGGGCAGTCACTCTCCAAACTGCAGGCCATACCGTCTGCGGAGGAATCCCTTCTTGAATTGGGTTCTTCTTACGATTCTGTTCTTGTGCTTGTCATGACCTTCATGAAGCCGTTTGACCTGCGGACGACTTTCGTCTTCCAGCACCCATGACATGTACTCAGGTACGGTGCACACAACTGTCACAGCCTTGGGCAGGGACACCTAGGTCCGTGACAGCATCTTAACGAGCTATGCGAACCAAAGATTACGAGTATTCACAATCATGGAGCCCCATCCTGGCAAGTGTTCTTGTGGCATCGACCATCTTCGAATCATGCATCCGCTGTGCATGCACTATGTGAGTCCGCAGCCGTTGATCTCTTCTGCTAGCTTTGTAAACTCGGGCCTTTCCACCTTCAGCCATGGTGTTGGAAGAAACGTCTGCAGATCCACGAGCCATTGGAAGCTTGGCTTGCAACATAAGGCCCCATGGCAGCCATCATCTTGTACACCCCAGCCTCGGAAGCCCGTGAGCCCTGCGTTTGGTTTGACAGCTACAAGTATGTCATCCTTACTGCTGGCGCCGGCTTGGTCTCCTGCGCGGGAACCCTCAAAGCCGTACTTCGGAAGCACTGCACTTTGCACCTACACCCATGCTCAGAAGAAAAAAGGAGGCAGAAGACACACACCAGTAACCACCTCCAACATGAGTTCTTGCCTTCGGCGTGCCTTGAGTCACATGCTGAGACTCAATACACTTCAATTTCAGAACAAGCTGGATTCCCCTGCAGCTCAGAGTTTGACCAATTCCCCTGGACCATCAGCATTTCGTTCTACCTCCCTCAGCCGCGCCTGCCGTACACACAGTCACTGACAATGCATGCATGGATGGATACCACGAACACACACGCAGGCCAATTTTGCCGGAGCCTGGAATTTGGAGGTTGCAAATCTATCTCCTGGCAATAGAGGTCTTCTATTAGAAGCTCATAAGATTGAATGTGTGCTGCTAAGCACTGCCAGTTGGACGCAGCTCTTGCTGAAGACCTGATCCCATAGCCATTGAGCCATTGCAATCCGCGTGTGGTTGTGGGAAAGAAAAGTCCGTGCCGAGGTCTGCTCCGGTGACTTCTTCATAACTGATGGATGGATCCTCTTCCAACTCCTCATCACTGCTTGTTGCCTGCCAGGGCATCTCCTGATGGCTCTGTCTTGCCAGCAGATGCCAGCAGGAGTCTGAGTGCCGCGCTGCCTGTGCCTGCGCCAGACTGCACTTGAGTGGCTTGGTGGCAAGGTCTCTCTTCTCCACACATTTGCGGGGATGATTTGGGTAGTCACAATATGTCACTCTGGCGTCCTGGGGCTCGCGTAATTATCGCGTTCGCGCTCAGGATTTGGACCACTTTTGGTAATGAGCTTCGAGAACTGTGCACCCTGGGCTATGCCTTCCCTACTTGTGTTGGCGCTGGTGGGCGAGGTTGTCGCCAACGCGCGGTGGCACGTGACAGCCTGCTCCCTTCACACCTCAGCCTACGGCAGCCTGGCTGCTTGAGAAGTGCCCATCACTGTCTCATTCCTGCATTATCCTGCATTTGTATACTGAAACTGTCTGAGGGCCTAGGTTTCGCAACCAGTCAGCGCTCTCTTGCACATATGTCCGAAATACCACATGAATCCGAGGCATCAACCTGCACTCCGAAGGTGAGCGGATAGGGTCGGGGTGGCTCCCCAGGCCTGATTCCAACCCACATTTTCGGACCCAGACCGGATAGGTTGTAAGAGCCACGTTTTGGCTCACCATCCTGAACACGTATCAGTACACGCACATCAACTGTGAGACCTTGCCTACAAGCTGTACCGTCATGCAGCGTCGACCTACGTAGAGCGTTCACTGCGGGTCTGGATTGGTCATGGCTCGTGGAGCCCGAAAAACTTCAATCGCATGCCAGGATTTCAAGAGGCACGGGATTCCAACGGAGCATCTCCTAGAGGTAATGCCGTTTCAGAACCACAAAGCTGAGAGCCTTGCAACAGCATACAAGTTGAATTATCTGAAAACTTTCGCGTCGAGATGCGAGAACAACCTTCCTTTCGCGCGGCCTGGTGGTCCATGCATAGACTCCACTACTAGGACCTGTATGGACCTGCGCATTAACTCTCAGATAATGTGGTAGATCAGCCTTATGCCGAACTGCCATCCATGTCAGAGAGAGGCAAGCTCATGGGTTCTGCACTATTTCCATGTTGTCACTCAGGGTCTTATGCCGGCATGCGTACAGAAGAAAGCCGACCAGGGCCCCCCCCTCAAACAAGAACTTCATGCCCGTCCGTGGCACCAGTATGCACTAGACTTCCCTTAAGTGCACAACCCGCAGATTGGGAGTGACAGGGTTTTCTAGGGTTGGGGTTTCTAGGGCTGTCGCAATAGGACTTTAGGATTCAGGCCTCGGCTTTAGGGCTTGGATTGCGGTTGACAGGGCATTTTTGTCGGTCTTGAGGTGGAGCCTGTTTTTCCAGCAAATAATTGCATGACATTGCATGAATACACGTGATTTTTTCCAGAAAGCTGACCTGAGTTGGGACGCTGTCGGGGCAAATATTCGCAGTTTTTAGGGTTGGGAGGTGTTGCAGGTGGATGCCGGTGGAGCACGTTGTTCCGGGACGTAGGTTCGTGGCTCTGGCTTCTGCTTCTGAAGAGAAGCACACAAACGCAACTGTCAAGAGTCGAAGACTCACATATGAGAAAACATGACGCGTCTGCATTCATGAGGAGCCAGGCATGCAGCTGTCACGTGTCGAAGAATCACAGCTCGAAAAACGATGACAGCTTTGCATTTTATATGAGGATCACGCACCAGCAACTGTGGAGAGTCGAGAAATCACAGCTGGGAAAACGACGACGGGTCTTAAGTTCGCGATGGCAGAATGTGAGAAGTCACAAGCGACTAGAAGTTGCTCTGGCGCCCGAACCCTGTGCTTCTTTAACATCTTTAACCACCCCAACATCATCCCCCCATTTCCGAGAGATGCGCGTCACTCCCCAAATACATGCAAATACCCCAAGCCACAACCCGCACACTGCCCAAGTCTTTCTTGAACTGCGCCGAATGGGCCAAAAGAATCCCAAACATTCAACGGATCCTGCCAGTCTCACAGAAACGGTGGGTTGGCATCAGCAAGCCTTGATGCGGGTGGCCAAGCAAGTGCTCTTTTGTGACTCGCGTATCATGAAGGCGCGGCTTTGCGGGAGTCATTCACCCTTCATCTTTTTGCAGTGGGATTCACTCCCTATCTAAGGGCCGAGTTCCCCCCCACACGGGTGGGGGTGTTTGGAGAGTCATGCTCATGAGGACCCCCCTCTCTACGGCTATCCTGCTGCATAGTGGCAGATTGGTCTGTAACTGCGCTTTCGCCTGACAGCTGCGGTCCTTTGCTTTATGCGCTGAGCTGAGCTGGCATGGAAGCTGTGTTCCCAAAGCACCTGCGTCTTCTGCGGTTCAACATGTATGGAGCGAACTGTTTGACATGTAGCGCGGGACCTTTTGCTTGGACCAGAACCATCCTTCCAGAAGAGGTCCAGAGACCCATTTACTACGCAGGAACTGAGGCAACTCCCTTTCTCAGGACCTAGTAATAGGCGGGAATCGTGAGCATCGGATTCCCGATCCATTGCACCGATCCATCCATCCACCCACCCAGCTATCAACAAAATCCTCGTCGGAAAACATGAAATCTACCTAGCAGCTACCCCTCTTCGGCCTTGTGAGCTATCAGGCCCCTGCTTCCAAGACTGCCCAGCGTGCTGAAGCCACGGATTCCACCTAGGCCTGGAGAACAACGGGAAAAAAAAAGAAGCAACAGCACTGCAGGCGCAGCACATTGAGACCCTTGCCTCCAAACGTGCCAAAACCACTACCGGGGACCTCCAAGGCTTCAAAATGTTTCAAGCTTGATGCGTTCGGACAGTGGGCTGTTGAGTTCCTGGCCAGTGGGGGAGGTTCCTGATAGCCAACTTCAAAACATGCAAACAATGCAAGCGCAACCAAGCACAACGGAATGTTGAGAAGCACACGTCATCGTCGTTCGCGTATCCCGCATGAACATTGCGACCCGGGCGTGGCTTCACTCGGCCAAAGCTGTCCTCGACCATGTCGTCTGGTCCTCAGTCTGAGTTGGCGTATTGTTAAGTTCTAGCCATGCGTACAAACAAGCTTGGGCAGGTAAGTTGACTAATCTCCGAAATTCTCCATGGTTGCCATGCAGTCCTTATGCCGGTTGGGTTCCGGTTTTGGGCACTTACGGGAACAAGGACCACCAGCCAGCACTGGAATGCCTCTGCAACACATCCTGTCTGTCCACATGCAAACTGAGCAGCATGCAAATATAATATGGATTCAATGACTATGTGACGGCCATCCCTTCATGTTAGATCCCGATTAGTGTGGGGGGCTTAATTGTGAGAAGCGTTGCCGAAATTCTTCAGCACCCTTTGATTCGCTTGGCGGCTCTTAATTGCGACGTTGCGCGGCCGAAAAAACAACTCTGAGAATAAGTCAGTAGGAGAAACAAACTTAATTTGCTTTCAAAGCACGGCAGGCAGTAAGTAAGCAGTTTTGGGTCCTAATCCAGGCTGCTCTTTGAAAATTAGATTAGAGGCCCTTGTCCAGAGCTTGAAGAACCTCAAATCTCAGAATCTTGGGGATCTCAAAACACCGGATTTGCAGGTTTGAAGCCAGGTCCAAAAACTGTCGATTTCTTACTGGACCGCTTATTCGAGGAGGCTTAGCAATCATTGTCGCAAGAGGGTAATCCAGCAGCTGCCCAGAGCCTCAATGATCAAAATGTTTTGGGGCCCTCAGTTATGCGTCACATCACGGGACCCACCTTTTACTGTTAAAGGCTCAGCATTTAAAAGCAAAGCTTCCAAGACCTCAAATCTCGAGATTTTGAGCACCTCAAAACTCCGGAGTTTCAGGTTTGAAGCCAGGTCCAAAACTTTCAATTTTCATGGGCACCCAATTTGCAGCTGTTTTCTTTTTAGACTGCTTTTCGAGGATTTGAAAAGGGGTTAGTCCAGCAGCTGCCCACATCCTCAAAAATACAAAGGTTTTGGGTGCCCTCAATTATCCGTTAAATTGGGGGGCCCTAAAAAATAGCGCAAAGCATCGGCCTTTTACTTTTCAAGGACTAACATTTTAACATTTACAAACAAAGCTTCAAAGACCTCACTTCTCCAGATGTTAAGGACTTTCTAGAATTCTTCTCAAAACCTTCTGAAACCCTCCTGATCTATTACCGCGCCGATGCTGATCCCTCCTATTGAATTTAATTTAAACCTGGGATCCAGATTCGTTTGGGGGAACCATTAATTAGGAGCCCTATGTTGTTTGGGGGGCAGCATTACGCATTTGGTGGCTTGGTTTGGGGAGCTACAGGCACCCCTTTTGGCCGACTTTGGTTGTAGCAGCATGGAATGCTCCAACTGGAGGATAGCCTGCCCTCTCCGAGAAACTGTGCGCACTTGCAATGGTGCGCCTGCCTAGCTGGCTGCGTCACCGCGACGTGCTAGCAACACCGACAGGCAAGCGTTTAGGCTCTCGCCAACACTTTCGGCCCTATCTAACAAGTTACTTAATGCCTTTCGCTGGCCTCTGTTTGACAGAGGCGAGAGAAGGCTACCACCACTAGCAGCAGCAGACGCCTCTTTGACATCAAGTGCATCGACTGCCCGACACTTCCACTCCAAAATGCTTGAGTTCACATGTTTGGCAGACGACAAGAAATCTTCAATAAGTTCCCCAACATCTGGCGAAATCGTGTGATCCAGCGACTGTCGCAGTTTTGAGACATGGACAGCTGCTTCATCCAAGTGACGATAGACTTGATCCAGTATTCCGGTTGCATCCTGGACATTTGTAGCATTGCCACGAAGGCTTGTTCGCAGGGAACAGAGTGAAACGCGAGCACGTGGCCAGGACAGCAAATGCTCTGCTTGGCCAGTTTGCCGACTGGGCGTGTGCGCAACTGACATGAGCCAGGTTGGCGCCGCGAGGGTCGGGTTCGCTGTAAGAGGAAGACATCCGGCTTTCATCACACCTGCCTCTGCGTTCACACGTCGCACAATTTCGGTCGTCAGAAGCTGAGCATTGGCAGCAGCCAAGTCCAAAGCAATGTTGGGACTCGCGTCGCTAGACGGAAACGACATTGGCTGCAGAAGTGTCTCCAGAAATCCCGGCCTTCGAGCAAACGCCTGGCGAGCAGTATCGTCATACATGAGTTCGTTAGCCACGGTAAGCGCCTTCAGACGCCGTGGCAACTCCTCGCTCTCCTCCAAGACACTTGCCAATGCATTTACCGTGTCAATCAACTCCGTTGGATCGCTGGTAGCTCGCTCGCACAACTCCGTCACCAAAGGAAAATCCAAGCGCCTGTCTGGTCTCAGAGCGTCTGCCAGCAAAACAACAGCAGACACCGCTTCGGTAGCTGCTCGAGCTTCCACCGCAGCTTTAACCCTGGCAACCAGAGTGCGCCTTTGCGAAGTCAGTTTTGCAACTTCGCCATGCAACTCTTTGAGAGCATGCTCACCTTTCTCAAGGTCTACAATCATAGAAGCTGGATTCGGCAGGTGGGTAAACCAGGTTGAACTCGGAAGCGTCATCAAATCCACAGAGCATTGACACTTTTCGCTCAGCTGTTTTGCTTTCATGGCAGCAGCTTGTGTTTCACCAGGTGCGTTGAACAAAGCTTCGGCTTCAGCATCCTCCAAACACACAAATTCCTCATGCAAGCGCCAGAACACGTCATGCATCTGCATGAGCGCACCTCGAATCTGCAGCAGCACAACGGAAAGGATGGCGAGCCCTTCTGGAGGGCTCTTGCTTGGACTTACCGTTCCCCATAAGCTCCACCGCAGTCTCTGCGAGTCAAGGGTTGCCGAATCACTGCCACTTGCAAATCTAAATAATGACTGAAATCTCTGCGATATCACAAAATCTGCTGAGGTCAGCGTCCCGAAGTCCGGTTGATGCTTTATATGAATAGCTAAAGCTCCTGCAACATTTGCCACACCAACGGGATCTGAGCGCGCATCACATCCACAGACTTGCCTCGAATCCGGCGAGTCAAATCCAACATCCTCACATGGAAGAACCTTTTCGACCAAATAGTTCCCCCTCGCAGTGCGTATGCTCATCCATCCCGTCACATAGGCTAGCTGGGTTTTCACCAAAGCACGCTGCCGCCCAACCTTGGCGTTGGTGTCAACCTCCAAGATCTTGACATGCGTTCCAGGCAAAAGCTCACACACCCATTGACTTGACACCTGCTGCCCTGTCCTCATGGTCGCTTGGTGCATTATGCGGCAGACATCACCGTTGACCAGGCTCTGCTCTGCAGATTCTTCGGGCCTTGATTCCGAATCTGAACGACGAAACCAAATAAATCCTACATGGTCACATGTACAAGCTATACGCACACCCAGTGCTTCCACTATCAGCTCAATAGGAGTAAACAAATGAGCTATTCAACAGGAACTTGGCTTTACATGGCCTTACACGATCGAGAATCCATCTTGGTCTGTGACATAGAATTTCGAATGTGCATGCTGAAACTTGACTGTGACAGGCAGGCTGCTCACATTGCTGAACGTCGTGCATCAACTGTATACCATGCAGCACACATGCCGCCAGAAGACCATGCGCAGCTCCGTGGAAACTTCGTGTACCCCTACTATAAGGTCGCACTTTCAGTTTGGAGGACTTTTTGATGAACCCTTACGGGAATGTTGTCCGTTTTTTGTCTCTACATACACAGGTCGAGCTGACCCATGTGGGCGACCCACAACTTCGGAATGGGACCCTGCCTATAAGTTTTCTGGTAGCCTTGTGAACGTGGCTTGCTTGGCCCAACCTAGGACTGCCTCTTCTCCATCGAAAGCTTTCCGTGCAGTGCTGCATCTGCTTTTCACTGTAAGGCGTTTGCCTGTTATGACGGCAGCTCCTTGAGAATCGAGACCGCGCAAATCACAAGATGCAATTCGGACTTCGGACCTGTTGCTGATGGCATTGACGTGCTGCTTACATCTCAGATCAACACCAACCGTGACAACGTCGCCAGCCTCAAATGATGCAGTCAACCGTCTGCACTTGTCTGGCCGAGCTGGGGGCATGGCACAAGCGCCAAATTCAGCCCCCACAACGGCTACTTGCCTGCTGGCGTATACACGTCTTGAAACTTGAAAACACAAATTCAACATTGACATCACACTCAGACGTGAACCGCGTTTCGTCCACAAACTCGTCGTCACGGAATGCAGCGTACGCTTTAGCGTCTTTTCGAACCTCTGCCCCCATGCATGGCCATTCCCTACCACTGTCGAAAAGGCAAGCACCAAGTGAACAGCACGGGGATCACAATCCAAATGCCTAGACGAGGCTGCTGAGCATTCGCTTGCTTCACAGTCCCAAGTACCCTACACTCACTCCAAAAACAACCGCACTGCACCTGGCAATGGCAAGCTTGAGGTGGACAAACCTTCAATTCGCAAGCTAATCCGCATTACTGCACTCATGCCTTCATCGATGTTAAAACATGCGTGAGCCCTGCTTTGCAAACTCTGGGGTGTGAATTCGAAGCTCGCCCTGAGCTCCAGAACATGTTGCAAAGTCCATGCAAATTTCTACCTGCAGTCAACATGCAGAGCAACTGAGTCATGCGCCGGCTGTGTCGCGTGGCAAGCAACAACTTCTACAACCTGGCAGTGTGTGGCGGCCACATTGGTGTGTCAGGCAATGCTAGGCACTTGCCCAATATCCGTCGCGCATCTGTACTGATCTTCCTGCATCTGAGTGCGTGACCATTCGCTGGCACGCCTTTGTGCCGGTACCCGCAACGCTCGACTGGAAACGTTAGCAAGCCGGGGTTGAACTTTGCCAAAAGCACAGCAAATAAACACGTCGGCGCAGCATCAAATCATGTGGATTGCAGGAGGCGATTCTCCGCTTTTTTTTCGGAACTGCAAATCAATCAAGACGCCCCCTTCGCGATGCAACAAAAATCAAGGCTATGTCGCGATACTCCAAATCTAAAATGAATCTTCGGTCCGCGTCTCAGCTGAGACGGACAGCTGTCCTACCGTAGACCTGATAGCCCCCCAAGCCCCAGCCCCCTTCCGTTTGGCTTCGAGTGGGGGGATGGCCCGCGACCCCCAGCTTGCCCGCAAGGCTTCCCACAAACTGTTGGAGCGAGCAACTGCTGGATGCGAGCCACTTCTGACGCATAGGCCCGCCCAACGGGCGGGCGCGGGTTGCTGCTCGGCAGTGTGCTGCCGGGCAATACAAAGGAGACGCGCGGCGTCAAAACGCAGCGCGACCCCGTCCGGAACAGCCCTGGCAAACATGAACAATGCGGGAATGGCGGCACGTTATAAACGCCCCAAGTTGCACGCGACTGCGTGGTGCCCCGGCCCCAGCGCGTCCAAGGGCTTTGCGCAACACCCGTGCATGGCTTGGCAACGGATGTGGCGTGCTTGGCCTGGTGTATACGGCCAGGCGCCAGCGCAAAGCGTGGCAGAAGGCCCCATCGAAAACTCAAAATCCTCGCCCCCAACAAGAACGGACCCGGGCAGCGTTGCTTGGCTCGAGTCCTGCTGCAGGCCTTCCCGAGCTGCAAGGGCGACAGCCACTGAACTGAGAATGCGCGCTGACAGCAACGCCGCCGCGCACGGCGCAAGGCCCCCCAGTCAGGGAGCTTGATGTCTGCCACCCCATCCATCAGCATTGGCCAATGCCCCAACAGTGCCCCAGCTGTCCAAGCGGGCTGGCGCGGAGGAGGTGGAGGAGCTTCGGTTCTGCGCGTAAGCTCAACATGAACTGGCGCAGCTGCGCGACATTGGGGATGGCCTCGCCCTGCGCTTGTTCAATTCCGTACGTCGTGAGTGGGCGTGCTGGACCTTGGCAGGCAGCGAGCTGCAGGCATCTGCAGCAGCCTGCCAAATTTCTGCCAATGTTGTTGCGCGGCACGGCCGGGGCCAAGGGAGGTGTCGGGGCGGAGGATGTCCGCCACGGGGTTTTTCCCTCTTTTTGCCGGACTGCCGAGGAAGACAAAGCCTTCATCCTTCCTTTGTAGAACAGCTGGCTCTTGCGGGCAAGGAGCTTAAGGACTCCACGCCTTTGTCCTGTGCGCGGCGAGCCTACAGCCCGCCCCCGCACAGCTGGGAGCACGGTCGGACGGCAAAGAGCAGGTTGACGCCGTAGAGTGGCAAGTGTCAGGACAGAGCCGGCACTGTTACCACTTCGTCGAAACAACACATCTCTGTTTGAAGATGCACCCCGTTTGCATGTACGCGGACAGCAACCTGTGGGAGGATCATTTGTTGCATCCGTATGGTTCCTGCTTGTTTCGTCATCTGCCACGCTTCCATGGTCGGTTCGTGGCCCCGGTGCTGGAGTGCCGGCAAGAGATTATTTTGGTGGACGTTCTGGTGCTGGAGATGGTGGGCCCTACACTGCATCCCAGCAGCTCGAGCACAGAATCTGCAGCGAAGAAAGGCAACTCGAAGCCAGCCTCTACCTCCCCGGCCCAGACCTTGCAGCTATGCGTCCGCTGATTAATTGAAATCGTCGTCAGTCCTGAGCATGATGTGGTTGCCAACGACAACACCGATTAATAACTGCGGCCAGTGGAGATCGTTCGTTCTCGGGCTACTGGGGTGACGATGCTACGCCGATTCCCTGAAGGTCTACAGGTGATTTGGTAACAACTGCTCCGTCGCCTCGGCGGCACAGGGCCCTGCCGGTCGGGAACTCAGCTAGCTGCTTTGTTCCCACATTCCTGCGGGGTTTTAGTTTCTAGTTGTTCAGATGTGCTGTCGCCCGCCATGCATGGAAACTCTCCGTCGCGAAAACATTCGGGATGCGCTTTTGTTCGCTTCAAATCGCGCTCTCGCTCGAGACATCCTCAAAAAATCGGCGGTTTTTGTTGATTTTCGATTAAGAAATTAGGAGACATCGCCTTTAAAGTAGTCTTGCAGGAGGGGTCGTGTCCGAACTGACGGCGCTCCTGTTTGAGGTAAAATCGCGCTCCCGCGCGAGACATCCTCATTTTTAAGCTTTTCTTGCGTAAAGAGGCATTGAGCATTGCGCTCCCGCGCGAGACAATTCGATTTTTCGCGCTTGTGATCATCTTCCTATCTTCGGAAATCGCATTACTATGCGGGGCATCCTGGAAATTTCGTTGATTCATCTTCATCAAAATCGATTAAAATGACGCTCCTGTGCGAAACATTCGTGAAAATCGATGATGTCGAGGAGTTCTGTATCAATTCTATATCAAGTCAGTCCAGTTGTGCTTCGTTCACGATGGTTTTCCGGGCTCAAGAGGGCGGCGTTTGGCGGAGGTTTTCGATATAGGATTGGCGACGCCATCGTTCAAAATCGCGCTCCCGTGCGGAGCATCCTCGGAATATTAAAGAAAATCGCGCTCCCGTGCGGAGCATCCGTTCGAAATTTTTAATTAAATCGCGCTCCCGTGCGGCCCGTGCGGACCATCTTGAAAATTTTGAAGAAATTCGCGCTCCCTTGCGGAGGATTCTGAAAAATCTGGGGGAAATCGCGGTCCCGTGCGGAGCATCCTCGAAATTTCATCGTTCTTTGGTTCAAAATCGCGCTCCCGTGCGCAGGGCGTCCTGAAAATTTTAACGGTAATCGCGCTCTCGTGCGGAGCATCCTCAAATTTCATCGTTCTTTGATTCAAAATCGCGTTCCCGTGCAGAGCGGCCGCAAAATTTTGACGAAAATCGCGCGTGCGGAACATCCTCGAAATTTCATCGTTTTTCGTTCAAAACCACGCTCCTGTGCGGAGCGTCCTCAAAATTCGGTCGATTTTTTTCATTCATTCATATATAGGAACATACATACATACATACATACCTACACATACGTACACAGACATATGCAGAAGAAATAATATAGCTGCACCTGTCAAAAATCAGAGTATCTTTTTGGATTGTTTTTGCTACCGAAACAAAAAGAAACAGACACCCTATTTCTTACAGATTCAGCATTGTTTTTTTTATAATATTTTTTCTTGACAAAAATCAAGGTGTCTTTTTGGCGTGGTTTGTCCTACCGAAACAAAAAGAAAAAACATACTGATTTGTGACAGATGCAACATGGTCCTTTTTTCTATTTCCTCTTGCCCACAATCTTTTTTTTCAGGTGGTTTCTGCTACCGACCGAAACAAAAAAGAAAGACGCCTTGATTTTTGACAGATGCAGCGTTGTTTTTTCCTCTATTTCCTCTTGTCAAAAATCAGGGTGCCTTTTTCAGGTGGCTTTGGCTACCGAAGCAAAAAGAAAAAGACATCTTGATTTCTGACAGATGCAGTTTGTTTTGTTGTTTTTTCCTGTTTCCTCTTGTGCAAAGAAATAAAACGAAAAGAAATCCGTACGAGCAGGGCCACGGGAACGTGGGGGGGTCATGCTTCTTTATTTGAAGCTCATTTTCGGGATTTTCGTCTTGGCCGGGCTCCTGAAGCCTTAATTCGTGTTGAAACTTTTTTGTGAAACCTTTTTGCAAAACAGGACATAAGCTCTTTCGCAATTACGCATTGCAATAATACCGGACCTTGCCTTCTACTTTTAACCCTCCGCAGGATTGAAACAACTTCCTAAAAATGTGCATGATGCCACGCGGAACTAGTCTTGATGCAGTCACCCTTCAAATTTTTTTTGACGCTGTTATTCCTGAAGATTTTTTCTGCACATTTCGTCTTCGCGCAGTCCCTGCACTCATTTTCCTTTGAAGCAATTTGTTGGTTCAACCCAGGTTCAACCCGAGTTCGAAAGAGAACCCGGATTCAACCCAGGTTCAACCCTGGTTCAACCCCAGGTGCAACCCAGCGAAAATTTGCCGATTTTTGCGAAAATTTGCAGATTTTGGCGAACATTTGCCGATTTTTGCGAAAATATGCCGAGTTTTGCGAAAATATGCGATCGCGTAGTTCCGGACGCTCTTTTTCCCCTTGAAACTTTTTGTTGAAGCTCGTATTCCTGAAGCTCTTTTTGTCCTTGAAGCTCGTTTTTGAAGCTTTTATTGCTGAAGCCTTTTGTTTTTGAACATTTCGTCTTCGGGCAGTGCCTGGCGCTCTTTTTGTCTTGCTGCGTATTTCTGATTTTTTTTCGCGCGCTTCGTCTTCAGTCAGTGCCTGTCAGTCTTTTCTCTTTTTTTTCCACCCTGCTGTTTTCGCGGTCCCAGGGCGCGTAATTAAAGCGCAACACGGGGGGAAGGGAGAAATGTAGCGGCGCTCACGCCCTGCGTGCAGGCAGGCGGCTGCTCAGCG